TGACGTTCTGGATTTTTAACAAGCTCTCAGGCGACGCTAATGCTGCTGGTCCAAAGACTGCACTTTGAGCATGCTGGGAGGTTGGTCAGCAAAATTTACAAGGTTGCCAAAAATTAGGTGAGCACTTCCTTCACGTCTAAGCCATTGCCAAGTCTTATTTTTCATCCTGATGAATTCCAGACATTCTTTCTTAGGGTTGTTGCTCTGGTGCCTTGTTTACTGCCTCATTCACCTGATTATATCCCTGGTAGCCCTATAGCTTCTTAGTGTTCAGTTTCGTTCTACAAATCTGCATACATATCCCACAATATGATAAGACTATGATGTCCCTTTTAGTCAATAAAGATATTTATTTAATTCTATTTTGTTTTGACTTCTAACATTTGGCTTCTAATGTATCCCCAGACCATCCCTTTCCAAAAAGAGGTAGCTAGACATAGATGTAATAAGGACTTAGGTCAATATTTTGGAATTGCATCCAGCATTGCTTTCCTCCCAACCACTCATCATTCTCTATGATTTCCAACTTTCTCTGTTAATGTTAATGTATTCTTTCCGAGTTTTAAGTGTTTCATCATAGTGGCTTGGATTTTTTCCAATCCCATGATTATCTCTCTATTAAAACCTTAATACAAAAAAGAAATAAAAAAAAAAACCAGACTGCTCATTACTTTGATTTGTAGCAAAGACAGAATGGAACATTACCACTAGAGTGTTTCGAGAAACCATATTTACATTTGCATCAGCTCAATTTAGGTGCCTGATTAGGTGCGTGTTATGATGAAGATGCACTTACCAGTCAAAGGGAGGTGGCATGGTCTAGAGTAATGAGCAGGAGACTTCAAGTCAGGAGCCCTGAGTGCTATTTCTGGCTGTGACTGGCTACCTCTCTGACCTTGAACAAGTACATTTCACATGCCTTAGACCCTAGTAGCCCATTGTAAGGCTGCTGTGAAAGGTTGGTCTCTAAGTGTTTATTGCAGTGGGGGCTATGGAATGGAGCAAGGTATGGGGAGCTCGGAAGTCACACATGGAACTGGAGACAGGACCTCTGTTCTTCTAGCTCTTACCATGAGCCTATTAAGAGATGGGTCTGAGAAATAGGCTAATAGGTCAGATCTTGTTTTGACAAGGCTCAAAGATATGCTGAGAGGTTGGTTAATGTTTAATTTACAAGACTGTCAAAAATTGGGTGAGATGCCCAAGCCCATCCTGTTATCTAGGAGGGCTTAACCAGAGTGCATATTTTCTCTATTCTCTTCATAGTTTCTATGATTTTCATCACTGGGACAAAGCAGCCAGCAATCACCAGCCACTGGAGGACATGCCTAAGAAAGGCCTGCTCAGTGAGCCATCCTTAACTTTAGACACAAGGGCTTGACCTATGGCAACTTTAACATATGCTGGAAACCATCTTGCTTCCTCTGGTAGCCCACAAGGCCAGTAAGATTGTGCCCCAGAGAAGATCCAATTATTCTTCAATTGAGTTCCCCTCCCAGCAAAGAGCTGGATTGAAGGGTAAAGGTTGACATGCTTTAAAAAGGAAAGCGAGAGAACAGTGTTCCCCCCTCTAACATAGGCTGTTGAATGCTAGGACCTCAGCAGACATTAAAGCAAAAAAGCACCTATGATTCTCATCTCATCATCCTTCCTGCATAGGCTAATTTTAAGAGAACAACCTAATAATAATCGGCAGTGTTTATTAAGCACTATCCTAAGTGCCTACATCAACTACCTCCTTTAATTTTCACATTAATCCATTAGGTAGGCACTATTACTGTCCCCACTTTACAAATATGAAAATTGAGGGACAAGAAAATTATGTAATTTGCCTGACATTATAGAGATAGAAAGTTGCAGCTCCAGGATTAGAACCCAGGTCACCTGGCTCTAGGACCTTCACTCTTAAGCACCTATGTCTGTATGGATACAAATTTGTAATGAGGAGAGTGACAATCTCTGGAGGTCCATGATTACAGAGGCTGCACCTATTCTAGAGTGACTAGTCATCTCAAAGTGAGAGCATACTCCAACATCCTCATAAGAATAGATGGAATTTGTAGTTAAGTATTAGAACCTTGCTGTGCAATGGTTTTGATCTGTTCAACAGGTAGAAGACAAGGGAGGGTCTCTTTCCTATTATGCAAGAAACCTTCAAGTGATTCTGCACCAAATATTCTGACCCCCTTGAATAATAGTTTTATTCTTCTCTACCACAGTGCATCTCCTTAAATGGAAGACACATGTGGCTACTATCTGATTTCTATGTCCCAAAAGCTTCCTTAAAGGGGCAAACAAAACATTAATTCTGTTTGAGACCCAATATTTCCCCTTCAACACATTTCTGATATTCTTTGTTTTTTTTAAATCCTTCAACTCTTCAGGATAATGGGAGAGAAATTTGAGGATGATTCTCCATGTATGTTTTACCAGTTTTCTTTGACCTGCTTTAGTCAATGCCAACAAGGTCCTAAATTTGCCAGAGGAAATGCCACTAGATACAAAGTGGGAAGGGATAAAAATGAATTCCCATTGGGATAATGTAGAGCCCTATAAGGGCCCATGAGCCGCCATTTTGCTTCATCACTAAAGGCAAAACTCGAGGAATGCTCCTGAAGCAGCGGTGTGTGACTGTCCTCTCTCTGCCCCACCAAAGGGCCACAAATCAGAATACTACACTCCTGTCAGAATGACTGGTTACTGTTTCCCCAAGTACAGGTTCATGTGCAATAACTGACCCCAGAGAAACAGAATGGCACAGTGTAAGAGCTTGTCACATTAAATGATCAGGAAACCATTACCAACTGATAGAACAGTTGATGGTGCAGAAATGATTACAGACACTCCCCGCAGGCCCGCTGGGAGCTGCCGCCCAGGCACTAGGTGGCTACCAGGCTGTCCGGAAGAAAACTCTCCTGAGGGGAGAAGGAAGCTGAGAGTTTGTTCCCTCTAGTTTCTATAGCTCCTTGAAGTGGAGAGTAGTTTTAGGACTCCCAGCCTGACTTCAATTCCAGTAAACTTTTAAAAAATTATTTTTGGTGATAACAGTGCTTCTGTGAGATTTGGGATAAACTAAAAAGTCTAAGGTAAATTAAATCTTATTTTACTGGACTGGAGGGATTCTCTGCTTAAGCACATTCTAGAGTGGATTTTCTGATTTTTTTTTTTTGAAAGATTGAAAAAATTTCTTTAATAAAGAGAAGGTCACCCTGAATTTGCCATCTCTTTGAGATTCTTAGGTGTTTACTGACAGCTGAGTTAACCCTCTACTCTGTTCCTCTTCTACTCATCTGCTTTTACCTGAGCAGGTATAAACTCAGTCCCTCCCAGCCTGAGTTGGTGCTCTCTGCTTTGGTAATGCTGTGTGAATTTCTGCTGTGGCCCTTGGAAGATGGCAAGGGCCAGAATCACCAAACCAGGGAGTGTGAACTGCAGTCTCTTCCAGGACCAGACTGCATCTAAGCCCAGTGGGAGAAAAATGGCCTGAAAGGACAGCTGGGCAGGCAGTTCCTAAGAGTAGGATTTTGTTTCTAGGAATCTCTGGGTCCACAAAGTACTAGCCCCTCAAATATCTCCAACCTTGCTCCTTTGTCTGCATCCAAGTGTGGGAATTTTGAAGCAGGTGAATGGCCTCTATAAATGGCCACTGTTTTACCATTTGGGAATCTTCTGATACTGTACTGAATACTCTTAAAACCATACTTCTGAGACCCCTTACAAATCTAAAGTGGTTGTGTCGTTACTGCAAATGTTAAAAAAGAACTCCCAGAAAAAAGAAAATGTCTCTAAATATATTTTCAGAACCCAGACTCTGCAATCTGCCTACTTGCAAGCTAATCCTGGCACCACTATTCACTAGCTTTGTGCCCTTCAGCAAGTTGCTTAACTTCTTTGGGCCTCAATTTCCCCATCTGTAAAATGGGGAGAATAACTGTTCTTCCAACACAGGGTTGGAGCTACTTTACATAAGGCGTGCAAGATGCTAAATCTAGCAAGAGGTCCAAAAACATTAGTGTGTTCATATGACTAGAAATGCATATGCCAAAATGTTAACAACAGTAACCTTTAGTTGCCAAAAGAATGGATGGTTTTGTGTTTTTGTTTCTCTTTGTGCTTTTTCGTGTTTATTTTTCTTTTTGCATTAAAAACTAATTAACTAATTTGAATTAGAAAATAAATGCCTTTGAACAAAGAAAAAAATCACCAAAGCTCCCAGGGTTATCTAAAGATGCAGGCAAGGGGAGAGATGACAAGGGGGCAGTGGACAGAGGAATCAAAGGGAAGTTTGAGTTCACCGGTGCACTGTGGGAGCCCTGGAGGTGAGCACGTGGAGGAGCACTCTATTTTGGAAGTGCTGGTCCAGCAGCCAGGAATATGTGCCTGGCTTATTCCACCTGATGATGAATTAGGCAGGTCTCAGGAGTCTGACTTTCAGCTCTGATGCTTCTGGGGATGGGCCTAAAGGGCCTAACCCCTTTTCCCCACAAGGCCTGCAGAGCCTGGGGTGTTGACAAAGGGTAAGGGCAGGTTTGTTCCTGACCCTGCATGGCTCCCCAGACCTCTAAGGCAGGACCTGGAGCTGCCCTTCCTTTATTTGTATGTCTAAGTAATTACAACTCATGAAATGATCTAACCCATTAGCTAAAACCTGGCCCCAGCATTTGACTCTGACCTCCTACAGCAGCCTGGGCCACACGCTGACTCCATGCTGCCTGATTTGTCCTCAATTTATAAGCAGCACAACCTATAAATAGAAACCCTTGTGCTAAGTTCCCCAGGAGGCATCAGCAGGTTTTCCAGCTTGTATGTGTTTTCTTCTTTCTTTTTTTAAAAACTAACATGGTAGGCTTGTTTTCCCTGCCTGGTGTTCCTCCAGCTTTCACCTCTAGTTCAGTTTGAGGCCATTCCAGCCCGCTTAGGGGTTTGGGCTGGCACACCAGCAGGGGCTGTGCAGGTTGGGTTCTTAGGGAAGCCCCTGTCTCAGTAGAGGACCCACTTACCTATAGATCCTGTACCTGGTGGTGAAACCCTGGCGGTACCGCTCCATGAAGTCAGCATACTCCTGAGCGCGGTGGAAGGGGCCCCGGTCTGTGAGCAGCCAGTCCAGGGGATGCTGGCCAGCTACGGAGGCATGCTGCTCGGGGACCACAGCAGCCGCCGTGGCTGAGACGGCCAACACCCAGCCAGGCAGGCCCAGTGCCAGCAGGGCTGTCCATGGGGCCACTGCCGGCCGAAGCCCTCTAAACCGAGTGCCACACTGCCACCTCATGCTTCTCCCGGGCGGTTGGTTTCTTCATTCTCTCGCCAAGCTCTCCCGCTCCGTGCTGCTCCTCCAGGGCTCAGAGCTAGAAAAGTACAAAAGGCTATGTCATTTAGGCACCCTGGTCTTACCCCATGGGCCTGTGAGCATCACTCATAATTGAGTTGGGCCCATTCTGGAAATCCTTTATCCTAGTAACATAACTTGGTTCTAGGCATTTAGCTAAGTGCTTGAGGTACATCATTTCATTTAATCCTTAAAACCAACCTGTGAAGAAACAGTATTGCCATCATTTCACAGATGAGAAAATGAGGCTTAGAGAGAAACTTAAGAAAGATGCTTAATTAAGTTTACACAGCTATTAAGTGGTAAAACCAGAGTTTGAACTCAGGGGATCTGACTCTTAACCCTTATGTTATGTTGTGTCCATGCGTCCTGCCTTGGCCCACTTAACACCATCCATTTCTGTCTTCCTCTTCCAAAAATGCTCAATCTGTCTCTGCAATTGCCTCAGACTGTGGGCTGCCTCTCGAAGTTTGATGTAAGGTGAGAAGCAACCCTATTTTCCTGGTGGAGAATTGTGAGGTAGAAAAGTACTAAAGTTCCTTCCATTGCTGCTGTGAAGCTGAGTGAATGTGGGTAATCACTTCCTTCTCTGGGTTTAATGTATAGACAGACTTGAAGAGCTAATTTCTAAGACCTCTTCCAGCCTTGAACATCTGATCTCCTCTCTTATTGAAGGTCACGTGGGATGGAGTTGGAATGGGGAACTCAGATACTGCATATAGCATCATCAGAGTGGATCATGCACTCAAGGATATCCATCATCCTCTCAGCTCACTATGCAGCTTAGGAGCACCACGAGGGGCAGGGCTGAGCAATAACTGCTGTATCTTTCCATACCAGCTCCTGGGAGCAGACCTTCACAGACAGTTCTTGAAGGGATGAATGAGTGCCTGCCCTGCCCTCTCTGAGTTAGGGGTAAGATGCCAAGAAAGTAGTAAGATTCTGGCCTTCGAAATTCCTGGCTGCCTTGTGACTCATCACAGGTCTCTGATTTTCAGTGCCTACTCTTTGGACTGAGAACAGAGTCGCCTTTTTAAACCTCTGGGCAGATGCACAGGACTGTTCAGTACTGTGGGGCTTCTTGGAATTGTGATCATTTCCTCAGTCTTTAATTCCTAGCACATACTGTCAGAATCTGCCCATCTCTCCTTGTCAGCACCACTTCAGTGTGTGCCAGAATGACCTCCATCCCCCAGCACCTGTAGTTCATGGCTTGAGAACATTCTCTGACTACCAAAGCGCAGAGACAGGCTCCCTGGGGATGAGGCAAGGGGCGTTAATTCCCTGGCAGTTCCAGACTCTGGTAAGGGCAGACAATGTGGACTTCAGCACTTGATTTATGCCCCCTGCCAGAGTCCCCCAGGGCACTCTGGGTTGGTTCCAGTTCACAAAACAACCTGACTTCCATCAGATCAGTGTGAATCCCAAAGGGGCTGCACAGAGGCTGGAAACAAACATTAATTCTGGAACTCTCCCAGCCTAAAGTTTGGCCTGAGTCTGAGAGATTCGTGCCTCACCAGTCATATAGGATGCTTTCAGAAGAGTTGCAACCCCTGCTTAGAAGGATGGAGGACACAGCATGAGCGGCTGGATGTGCAGCGTCATTCCTTCACTCCAGCTCGTGGGTATTGACCACCTCTCATGTGCTAGGCAGCTCTTAGAACTTACCACAGTTCTCACAGAAAGTTTGTTAAATAGCCATGATTAGTATGTTTATATTTTATTGGGACCCAGAATAGTTGAGCCTATGAGACTGCAGAACCTTGATAAAGAATGTGGTACAGCCTAAGGAACTAGAGCAGGCGGTAAGACAGACCCTCACTTAATAAACTAGAGGTGGGGGCTGAAAGAAGAAAGAAGAAGAATGAGGCAGCTCCTGCCCTACCAGATCGTCAAACATGATAAAATTCCAATAATTAAAACAGGTGATACTGGCACACAAACTGGACAGCAGATCAATGCAATAGAATAGATAGCTAGAAATAAACCTTTTTATGTATTAGAACTTAAGTATATGAAAAAAAGCATCAGAGACTAATTGCATGGAGGATGGAATATTTTATACCTAATATTGGAAAATTAGTTCCAGTTGGAATAAAAAGTTAAATATAAAAAATAAAATCATAGAAAGAAGGAAAATCCCCAAGTGTTTTATAATAAGCATGCATTACCAGGAAAAAAAAAAAAACTCATTTGAAACTAAAAAGTGAAATCAGCTTTGTACATAGAGGGTGTAGGCATTTTTTATATGGATGCAATCTGATGAGGATGCCCAAAATATTTCTCATATTATCATTCACATATTCATTTATTGAAGAAACATAAATTGAGGGCTCCTAAGTGCCAGACACTCTGCTAAGCATTGACAATACAAAAGCAAGTGCTCATTACATTACCTGAAACTCTAACATTACCAATTAATTCCTTTTATAAAATATTGCTCTATTTTGTTTAAAGGCATATTGACAAAGGGGATGGGGAAATGTTCATTCTGAAGACTGCAGCTACCTGATTCTGGAGGCCAAGACATCCAACACATCAAGGTGGAAATGCAAGGACATGGGTGGGAAGACACTGGAATGCAGAATTCCCAAATGACCAAGATTCCCACACCCTTCTGTGCATGCCCTATATGACCCTCTCCCCTTGAATATGGGCAGGACCTGTGAGTATGATGGGATGTCACTCCCGTGATCTGGTTGCTAATCAGTTGACTTTGAGTTATGATCTGATGAATGCAGAGTGCATTGAAAATCCAGATGGCAGATAATATTTTAGATCATGGTGGTGGCAGTGAGGACAAAGGTTTCTGAATAACCTTGAGCAACACCCTGGGTAGAACTGACCTACTCAAGTGAGCCTTTAGAAGAAAGTGAAGTGTCAAAGAGATAAGCTTCTGCTGACCTGGGGAGTAGCAAACAGCCATAAGGTGAACTGCTTATGGAGGCCACACGGCTATGAATTATAGACGGGCTCTGGAATCTAAGAGCAATTGCTAGCCAACAGCTAGCAAGAAAATGGGAACCTCAGTCATATGACCTTAAGAAAACAAATTCTGCCAGTAACCATGTGAGCTTGAAAGAGGACCCAGAGCCTTGGATAAGGACTGCTTCCCTGTCTAGCACCTGGATTTGAGTCTGGTGACACCCTGAGCAGAGGACCCAGTTAACCTGTACCCATGCTCCTGACCCACAGAGACCGTGAGATAATGCTTTTGTACTGTTTTATGTCATTAAGTTTGTGGTAATTTGTTGCACAGCAATAGAAAAATAATGCAGACACATAAAAGATAACTGTAGCCTCTCCCATTCTGCATAAGGCCTGGCCTAGTGGGGGTTCTTTATGCTCCCTGCAGACCAGCTGTTATTCTCTGCATGAGAAGAAGCCAGTGTGGCAATTTCTTGGCAAAATGAGACTGATCATCTCCCCTAACTCAGATGAGTCACATCATACCCTGGCTGTCTAGTTTATGGACCCCTTCAGGTCAGAGACCATAAGTGGTTTTCAAAAGTATTGGATGAATCAATTCCATGCATTTCATCGTGCGGTCATTGTGAGCTACTGAAAACATGTGTCCTTGGCCCAGCTACTTCACCCCGTGGTGCACTGATCTCCTGTGTTGCAATATGTGGTTATAGTCACCACCTCACGTAGCAGGTGAGGGTTTTCTAAGGACAGGTGAGAGCACACATGTGAAAAAGCTGTATGCTCTTTGAAAGAAGAAAGCTATATTAAGTCAACGGGTGCTTCTTGTCATGCTTTCTTTGTAATTATGCTTTTTCAGAACTCACAATGTGCTAGAACCTGCCTGGTTATAGGAGTATCAGCTTTAGAATCAAACAGTTCTGATTGCCGGGCCAAGTCTGCTGAGCACAGCAAGAACGCCTGAATTCAGTGCTGACTGCTCCTCTCAAAAACCTGGCCTTGGAATCATATGGTTTCCGCTTCACTGATTTTTCTCAGGATCTGAAGACATTTTAACTAAAAATTCTCTGTTTAAGAAAGAGAAGTTTTAAACAGGTTTCAAACTTTCTTTAAAACAAATCCCTAGAACATGTTCCTTCACCTTTTAAAAAAGGACAAAATAGTTGCTGCATTGACAGTTGTGTTACCATCAGGCTTTTTAAGGGGAACAGCTTTTGGCCATTTCCTGTTTATGCTCCGCAAATAATATCACTAGAAATTTTGCTGCAGCAACCTGTCAAGCAAATTTTAACTGTCTAAATCCTCACAACTTCTGGTGGAACTACTAATAAGCAGAAAAGTAAAATAGTTAGTACCTTCCCCACTGTGCTTCAGTTTTTCCTTCTTGTCCTGAAGCTGACTGCATAAGTAAGCCTCCGTGTTATATGCTAGGATATTAAAGTAATGGCTAAGTGCGTTCCTTTACGAAAAGAATTATAAATTTACTTGTGAAAGCCAAATCATTTTGCTTATTAGACCGCACTTAAGACAGTTTTACATCTAAAGAAATAATAAATTAGCTTTGCACCAAAGGTACAGGTAAACCAAGTCATGGGTTTTCCTTTGTTGACTGCATCAGCTCAAATCTGTTCTTTAAGCCATGGATTAAATGGATCACAGCTTTGTCAATGAAAAAAATCATGTATAGATGAAGTCACATGAGACGTAGGCAGTGCAGTCTTGAAATGGTAGAGCTTATAGGAATCCTGTCTCTATCACTTTCAGATTATTACCCAGCTGAAGACTTCTTGGGAATTTTTTTGCATCCTCCTGTTGTTTTTAATATCTATTTATGCTAGGTATGTCAAAAGATAAAGCACTCAGGATTTGAGGCATTAGCTGCTGGTGTACCATATCTTGGCAAGTGAGATAGAGATTTCTTCATTGAAAATTATTGCCAAGGAGGGGTTATATCTTGGGGAGTTAAGGATTTGGCTATGCTATGGTTATAGGCCTGGAGAAAAGGTAAAATAGGTGTGAGAGTAATATTGTAGGTAACAAGACTATTAATGATAATTATCATTAATAAATACCAATATAAATCATTTCATATTT